AGGGCCAAAGTATGGATGGAGAAGGAACAATGGCTGATGTTTGTAACATTTTTGCAAACATAATTTTACAAGAAAATAGTTTAATTCTGGATATAGACATGGACTACTTTTCAACACAGAATCCATTTAAACTATTGTATACAGAGGTAAGTTAAGGCATGATTTGCAGTAAATTTGTTATAGTAGTTCCCTACACAGGTGTCCTTTTGGCTTTTCGTGTAGCCATACCATCCTTGTCAAGAAAGTGGGATATGATAAGACTAAAGGATCTCTACATTTATATGAGGCTTACCACTAGCAAAGACATGAAAGTAGTTACCTCTGGTCTGTTGGCCATCTTTGTCACCAATGTTATTATGAATTTCTATAATTATTCTATCTGTTATTGATATTATAAATTACACAATTCATTACACAGACGAAAGTGAACTTACGCAACAGGACGGGAGAGGAAAAATGACGGCAAACCTTGTGTGACAAAAATTTTGTTTGAAAAAACCTTCTGCCAAACTTCACATTCCTTTAAACATCTTTTTTGTAGAAGAGCAAAAACTCACTCAAAACGGTTTACCATTTAAAAAGTTTCTGAAATTTAAGAAATTGATCACTTTTAATTTGTTGGATATCGCTAGGGTGAATATTATTAGAAATTTTATAAGAAAATTTGCTGTCAGCAAACATGTTACAGCTATAATGCTTTTTTGTAGGATGACTTTAAGTCCTTAAGAGATATTTACAAATTTGAGGAACCTTCGTCAACGAGCAATGAGGTACTAGTACAATCATTATTCAAAGTGGACAGACTGCAAATTACACTAGCTGCTAAAAAATATATCAATGTGTCGTAACTGTTCATCAGTAAGGTGCCTTAAATGTGTGCAATTCCAAAATTGGTTTTGGCCCCATTAAATCCTATACCAATTGCAGAACATTTTAGGAGGAGCCACCCACAATGTGAGCACAGTCATGGACAACACATATAAGTGAGGAAAGTGAACGAACTAAATGTACAGTGTACACGTCAATTAAATAACTAAATAAATAATGCATGTGCACAAATAAAACTGTGTGTGCCTGTACATACCAAGATACAACTGAAAATAATACAAATCTATAAGTAATATATAAGTGATGTAAGGATATGATGGTGCAATTCAAGCCTGGATTGCTAATCTCATCTCCCGCAGGGCTGCACCATACTTCTCGATGATAAGACCATGGTGATTGAAGAATTTAATAAATGATTTCTGAAGTAGATTGGTTTCAAAGCCTTGTTGTCAGAGACGTATGTTGTTTGAAATGCATATGCCTATAAAGTTGACCTATTATATGGAGTTCTTTGGTTTCTGTAACAGTGTAACAAAAAAATAATATTGTATTCATTGACTTTTTAGGATTTGGAGAGATGCGTAAAAGTACGCCAAGTGCAAGTGGAGCAGATTGAATCTACTTATAAATATTTACAAGAACATTCATCTGGTATCACTGATGAAATGTCTGATGGCTCTATCCTAAACCAAGATCTTGTGAAACTTGCAGATAAAATAAAACTGGAACAGGGTGGCAAGCTTGATTATGAAATGGTAAATTCTGAGTAAGGGTGCATTTGGTTTTTGAATGATAATTGTCAAATAATTACTTTGCAAGTTCTAAATGAAATACCAGGTGAGCTTTCGCGCGAAAACTTGATATCTTCACATGTGAAAATAACATGTTATCTTCACCTGTGAAAATATCACCGTTGCTATGGCTACATGATAAATCGCACCTTTCACACCAAAAAACCATTAAAAGAGAAAATATGCTTCAAATGGTATTTCATTGGTGTTTATATAATAAATAGCACATTACATGGCTGCAAGGAGATACAATATTTCTCTTCGCGTGTTGAAAAAAAATTTCACGTACTCGTTCGCTGTGCTAACTCGTGAAATATTTTTCAACCCTCGAAGAGAATTTCGTTTTTCCTCGCGGCCATGTAATATCCTCTAGGTATGAACTACATGCCCCCAGCTGCACTAAAAGCAGCATGCATCAGTTTTTAATGTTTCTAATAGCAGAGGCTAAAAAGGTCTTAATTCAGTTAATATCATGAGCAAGTAATTCAGAGTAACAAAAAACATTTTTGACTATCAACAATCTTTTCAAAACACAACACAATTTTCCAGAAAACAACAATCTTTTTCAAAACACAAGAATCTTTTGAAGAACACAACAATCTTGAAATATTTTTCCTGGAAACAACCATGAGATTATTAAAGACAGGGCAATAATGTTCATCCTAATAATTAGGATGAACATTATTGCCCTGTCTATTATAATATGTAAGAGAGTCATAATTATTGATCTGAGTCTAAATACTGATCATTACTCTCTTATTAGCTTCACTTTTCAGGAATGTCATCAGAAATACCTCATCATGTGAGTTCTTCTGAAATGATTGACAGTCTCATGGTCTCCATGGCAACACTACTGAAGACTGTTCCAAAACCTACTTTAATCACAGCGGCTAGGTATGTTCTTGAAGTTGTTTGTTGTTGAGTTATTTTGATGTGTTAGTAATAATTGACATCGATACTCTGGATTCTCAAGCATTGTATCACCATCCAACTCAAACTCAGGCTAGTGAGGGTACCTGGAGAAAAGCTCAAATTGACTGAAAAACTGCAACATTCCCCTTTCAATTTCTCTCGGAAATGCTCACAAATCAAAAAGAGAATTTGGATATTGAATCAGGACTCAACCAATTCGGGGCCTTTTGCATGCAGCCCTTCAAAGGTCTACAGTGTATTCTAGCCTGCATACACACATCTACATGCCTGCCTGAACAAACCTCTAGCCTGCATAGCAAGCGTTTCCGCACGAGTTCATTGAGAAAGTTGGGACGAGAGCCAAAAAAAAAGGCTTCTATCTTGACAAGGTGTCAATATACAAATGAACCAAACCATGAAATATCAAGCGGAGTTTTCCTGAATCGTGGGGTTTGCAGGCAAGCGTTTCCTCTTCTCCCCTCCCCTCCCCTCCCCCCTTCCATTTTTTTTTGCTCCCACTCTAACTTTCGTGCTATAACTCGATTGGAAATGCTTGCTGCGCAGGCTAACAAACCTCAGGAATTTCTCACCATTCTTGATACCATGTATGCCCCAGGGGACCTGTGACTATAGGAGGGGCATTTGAACACCATTTTTGGCTTGGGAGGTTAGGACCAGGGCCCAGTTGTTCACAAGGTGGATAACACAATTTATTTTCCTTAGGCTAATACTTGTCTGGACTGGATAGCGATTTATCCGGTGGATAGCGCTATCCAATGTTTGAATAACTGGAGCCTGAACAAGTCAAACTTCAAAAAGTCAAATGTCCTGTTTTCTTTTCCTTTTGTGGTTACTCTGGGGAGGGGTGGGTAGGGCACAGACATACCTTGCATGTAATCATAGTACAGGGAGAAGAAAGTTTTGGAGGCTTTGAACGGAGAGGTACATTTTTATTGGGACATGATAAAAGAAAAGATGTGGAATTTAGGCAAAAATGAATTTTTAAGAGGAATTTCTAGGCTCCGTTATTCATCTACAAGAAGCGCCTTTGATTATTACACCTGTCATGGAATAAATAATATTGATTTGATCAGCATAGGATTCAAAACTTGCTTCTTCCTATTTTGTTCAGGTCATCTTATGACGATTACACTCCAGCATACCAGGTAGAATACATCCAATCTTCCCTTCTTCAAGTCCTGTCTTCATGTTATGGTGAAAATCTTACAGTAAACAAATGTTATCAAACACCGTAGCAGATGGATGATGAAGGACTAGAAGTTTATGTAACAGCATGACCTGGGAAGTTTTCTTTTGTACAAAATTTTACCCTGAATGTGATGAACAAGCTAGTACAGTCAAACCCTGTTAATGAAAACAGTGAAGCGGCCATTTAAAGTATCTGCATTGACAGGGTGTTTGTATTAGGCAAGTCGTGTTTACTTAATTAGTATAGGTAATGGCATGATTTGTAGTGATATTTGGCATAAATAACACGAATGATATTTCAAAATTGTTATTACGTAATTTCACGAGCCATTAGGCGAGTGAAATTTGAGACAATTTTGAAATATCACTCATGGTATTTATGCCAAACATCATGTACAAATCATGCTATTATTTGTTTATACTACTACTTGCAAAAGGCTTGTAATTTTCACATGTAGGTATTTCAAATTAACCTGAAATACCACTGCTCTAAGCCAATCAAATTGCAGTAATTTTTCATGTAGTAGTATAAAGTAAAAAATACACCTTTTATTATGACAAAAATAATATTAAAGAGACAAAAAAGGACATTTATTTAGGATAATCAAAATAAACATCTTTAACCTTCAGAAAGCCATCATTCCACTGACTTTGTCCACAGAAAAATTGCTCATTTAAATACATAACTTATTCAAAATTCAATTCAATTCATCCTATCCAGTGTACATTGACATGCTGTCAACTGACATTTTGACTGATATACATGTATATTTTTTTTACCTTCAGAAAGGAGGGGTTTATGTTTACACCACATTTGAAAATATAGGATCTCACTTAAGGGAGGTAGACTTTCCATGAGAACGTGTTCATTGGGCAAGAAACAATTATCCGTATTAAGTGGGTTGAATTTAGAGAAAAAGTAAGAGCGTTCCTTATGGACAATGACATAGAAAACTATCCATAATAACAAGGTGTCCAAATCTTAGAATACTTAAAGGAACCCTGCTTAATAGCGGGTGTCTGTAAAGTGGCGTTCAGTTGTAATAGCAATGTGCCCTTGTGCAATTAAGGATTACTTTCACTTGTATGTTCAAAGTTTTCCAAATTGCCCCCGTCACTTCGTGACTCAGGTTCGTTTTGTGTAACTTTGAAAATGTTTGTGAAATTAATGTTTATTTGCCCTTGGGCTCATGTGATTTAATACAATGATATAATCAAACAGTCAAGTAGAATGATTTACTATTATTATCCTCTAGATCTATATTTCAAAATCAAACTCTAATCCAGTTGCTTCCAGTTTTGCCATCACTTCCTTTTCAAATCTATCATTCAGCTCTGGAGTAAAATAACTCTTCCATCCTCCCACCACGCCCGTCCGCAACAATGGCGAACTCTCTTTTTCGTCCCTCCACTTGTAACTGATCTCATTTTTCTTCATCCCTTCCAACGTACACTGCTCCGCTATACGACTGATGAGTTCATCTGACAGTGGCTTGTTCAGGAATTTTGCAATAATTCGCACATGGGATGGTAGATCCTAAGAATAATAAGTGTTTAGTACCGTTTTAGATTTTAATGTCCTTTTATCACGGTAGTTGAAAGCCAAAACAGTGAAAGTATCGGTTTGTTTGGAAAAAGACTTAAAAAATTCTTTCTTTCTTGGTCAAATACACTCTTTTTAAAATTTTTGAGCAACATGCAGGTACTTGTTNAAGAATAATAAGTGTTTAGTACCGTTTTAGATTTTAATGTCCTTTTATCACGGTAGTTGAAAGCCAAAACAGTGAAAGTATCGGTTTGTTTGGAAAAAGACTTAAAAAATTCTTTCTTTCTTGGTCAAATACACTCTTTTTAAAATTTTTGAGCAACATGCAGGTACTTGTTCTTTTCTTTGCTTTTTTAAATAATCCATTTTTTCATTCAGTTCCCTTAATTCAAACCCTAAAGTGTCAGGAAGCCTATAATTCATAAGCTCCCTGGCTTCTTACAGGCTTTTTGCCATTACCACTTTGAACATTTGTAAAATACGTTTTTTAGTAGTGTCTAACATCTTTAAAATATTATAAATTTCTTGTGTATTGTATATGTATTTTTATGTGGTTAATGGCAAAATGAATTAATGAATGAATAAACGAAAAGTCCTCAGTGCCCTAGATTTGCTTTATTAATAACAGTTCATAGTAATACATCAATGCTGAGTTCTTTGAAGTATATAGCTCTAGTTCTGGGGTAACTAGATGGAATTAATTTTGCGAGAAACTTGTGTAGGAAATTCGAACTATTATAATGTTGTTAAAGTATTTTAAGTATTACCTTGTGTAGATCTTCATATTTGAGAAACAAGACATTAGGATCATCTTTATGTTTCCACCAGTCAATAACATGATCATTCCAAAAGTCATAAATAACTACAATTGGCAATAAAAATATAATAAGATCTCAGAACTCAAACTTGTGATGAAATAAGAAATAATTCTAATTTGTAAGTGTAGTCAAGGCCAGCTAGCCCCTAGTGCCCCCTTTTTGATAGTTTCCTCCTTTCTTAATTTACGTAATTTAAGTAGTGTAACAGGCCAGACTACTTTTAAATTCACGGGAGCAAAGGATTGGAACGACTTACCCAATGATGGCCTTACTTTAGGATCTTTTAAGGGAAAAACACTTATAAAGTATTTGCAAGAACAAGGCAAAACACAGCATAAATGTAGATTGTAGTTTAATTCATTTTTTTTTTTTTTAACACCTTTTTTATTGTAAATATTAGTCTTTCCGCTATTTTTTTTACTGTACTATAGATAATTGTTGTTGTTTTTTTAATCTTGAAGTATTTTATTACTTCACATAGGTTTATATAGCTTTTTTATACTCAGTCATCTATTTTTTGTAGTATAAAAGAGTATTTATTATTATTATTAATATTAATATTATTATTATTATACCAATCTTTTTGTCAAGAAGTGGTGGATGTCCCAAGAAAACGAGCGTGGAATGGGAAAAATGAAAAATGGGAACAAAACAGAGATCGAGTTATGGGGCATCCTCGGAGACCCAGGGGCAGTTAGTCGCGTCGATAAAATGTTCGTGGTGAAAGTTTACTGTAAGATCGAGACGAGCCTAGGCACTTACTCTTACCGAACCAGTTCCAGTAGCGTTTGAATTGCCTACTTCTGATTTTTTTCTGGCCAATCAGCGAGAAGCTGCCGGGTGACTCTCGTGTTTTCTTACACGACGTAGTTTTCCTCATCGATCGCAATAGTTGCGTAGCGCGTTCAAAGGGGAAAGTTCGTCGACGAAAGTTTCAGAACAAAATTAAAACAACCCGCAAAATTACAACCTTTAGCACGGCTACAAGAAACAAACACTCTCCGATGAATTTTTAGGGCGGATCTTTCCAAGGTATCGTAAATTTTTATTGCTGCACCTTCATTTGCTCACATTGTCTAGTATACAACGCCAAGCTTACATTTTACATGTCCATGTTCGTTGCACGACTTCTGAAACTTTCTACAGCGTGAAAATTTCCGTTGCACGGGCCACGCAACTACGTCGATTGATCGTGGGAATTGCTGGCTTGCTGCAGGGCACGCACCTTCTTGCTTTCGCGCTAAACTCCCTTACTGTACGTATTTTTAATACAGCCGTTATGTTTAGTTCGAAATCTCGGTCTGGTTATGTGCTGAATCCTGACTTGTTAATTGAGGTTGATTTTTTCAGGCTGTGTGGGTTTATTTTTACGTATAAGTGAAGAAAAAAAAACTACGTCGATTGATCGTGGGAAATGCCGGCTTGCTGCAGTGCCTTCTTCTCGCTTTTGCTCCATACTCTTTTCGAAACTTCAAAGCTTAAAAGCTTACAGCAGTTGACCGTACGAATTCTGCTGTAGTTGATAGTAGTGTTAACTTTAGATTCGAGGGAGACCTCCTGCAAGCGCTTGAAGAATTAGAAGGCTTGTCTTTATTAGAAGGCTTGTCTTATTATTGAGAAGATTGCGGAAAGAAGAGATGTTTTTGGGTAATTGGCTATAAGCTAGGGGGTTTAAAAATCGTTAGATGTTAAAGGTTATGAATTCCCTAGTGATCCATTGGTCATAGTGATTTCACCTCTCATGTCAATTGTTGAGGACCAGGTAAAGTACTCGAGGTCACTAGGAATTCAGGCCGGTTTCTTAGGGGAAAGCAAAACAAAAGATCGAGAAATATTGAATGGTTAGGGAGCGTTTTCTTTGTTGTACGGAAGCCCGGAATCATTAACTGGGGGACAAGAAATTCAGGGCAATGTTCTTTAAGGAGTTTTACCAGA